TAAAAGAAAGAACCAGGAAAGGTTTTTTAAATCATTTAATTTATTTATATGTAAATGATAAAAGATCGTGAAATAGTTATAGTTTCTATTGTTTCTTAAAACTTTGAAATTAAACCTTTTTTAAAGCCAGTCTTTTAAAAACAATAAAAAATCAGTGAATCTGGCAGCAATTATGATCTGTGCTTGTCTGCAATAAATCCAGCGGTTGAAAACAGTCGCTGGAACTTCCAAATATTTCTTCGCAATTGTTGCTAATCGAGAATATAAACTTTGATGTACCTTCCACCACTGAAGAGGATTTGAATCCATTTTGGTTTCAGATCCTCTTCACAACTTCATCCAGATCTGGTAGATTGAACACCAATTTAAGTTTTTTTTCTGATGTCTGTTGCAAAATAATTATTTAAATTTTACCATTAACAAAACATATAGACATTATCTAACTATTTCAATTAATATTATATAACTCATAGAATTTTTTCTATAAAAAAAGACTATTTTAACAAATGCTTTTTTGAATACATTATTATTTTATTATAGTTAAGTAATTATATAAATTCTCACCTCTTTTGGTTCTTGTTCTATTGATACTGGTCTGAGATCTGGAAAAGATTCAAGAAGCTTTGATAATCTCTGCCAGATATTTGATCCTTTATTTGAAGCTATAAACAATAAATTTTTAAATCTTCAATCTAATGCTGATAAGATTTGCAACCAATTATTATTTAAAAAACCATTTAATCTGCGCTCCATATCATTTACAAATTTTCTTCAAATAGCGAGCTGTAACAAGGATCATCTTGAATAACCATATCACGTGATAAGTGGCATATAATTGGTAAAACCACTAAACTAGATACGTATTTGTTAACACCTTACGGTTCTGAAGCCACTTTGCATAGTTGCAAAACATCAGCAATTTTTTTTAATTTTTCCCAATTACTATATGGCAAAGTCTGTAAACGATGGTTTTGCTCATCAAGTGTTACTGTAATGGCTTTTCTAAGTTTCAACATACGCCTCAGCATATCATACATGCTATTGCACCTTGTAACATATTGAATTAGACTTTCTTCTGGCACGTTGAGGTCAATCTGATTTTCATGTAATTCCATATTATTTGCTAGACTATGTTTAAATGGTCCAATAATTCTGTGACATGTAGCTAGTGTTATTTCAAATGCTGTCTCCTCAATAGCAGATTTTATAATAAACGGTATGTGGGAAATATGGGAGATGTTTAAAGGGAAAACTTGATAGAGCCTTTACAATGTTTCTACCATTATCTGTACCAATAGAAAATATTTTTTTAAATAATCTCTATTCATCAACAATATTTCTGATGTGGGTTGAAATATTGTCACTGATGTATTGGTCCAATGTTTGATGAACACCTAAATATATATATATATATATATATATATATATATATATATATGTATATATATATATATATATATATATATATATATATATTTATATATATATATATATATATATATATATATATATATATATATATATATATATATATATATATATATATATATATATATATATATATATATATATATATATATATATATATATATATATATATATATATATATATGTATATATAAATATATATATTTATATATATATATATATATATATATATATATATATATATACACCTTGTACAGAAAGTTTAAACACACTTGTTTTTTTAAAAGTTAAGGTATGTTTAAAGTGATACAAAGAGAAAACATGAGGAAGGGTCCAGGTTTTTTTTTTTTAAATATTCTTAGTCGATTATTAATTAAGAAAAAAACACAACTTTGAATAAGAAAAACATAAAATCTCTTCTGAAATTAAACAACAAACTCAAGTAATCAAAAGATTACATAGAAGAAAGTGCAATAAAGTTTAAACGCACCTACAACTTCTTTTAATCGAAATATATTAATACGGAATATGACCCCCGTTGTTTTTAATACATGCTTGTATTCGCCTTGGCATTGATTTGATTAAGTTTTCAATCATTTTGATTGGTATTTCAAGCCACAGTTTGGTCAGTTCTTGTTTGAGCATTTCATGACTAGATATTTGCTTTTTTGTTAGTTGATAATCCATCCAGCTCCATAAATTTTCAATCGGGTTTAAGTCTGGTGATCGTGCTGGCCAAGGCATAAGTTGAATATTACTTTATAGGAAATAATCAGTGATTGAATGCGCTTTATGGCATGGAGCATTGTCTTGTTGAAATAACCAGTTTTGATCAGCCTGGAACAAATCGCGACTAGGGATAAGCGCGTTTTCCAAAATGTCACGATACTCATACTGGTTTAATCTTCCTTTGTATATTTTATGACAGCCAACGCCTGAGCCTGATATACATCCCCATATGCCGACGGAACCACCGCCTTTTTGAATACGGCTTAGTAGGTGTTGCTTCAAATATTTTTCTGTATTTTTGTGACGAACAAATCTCTTGTTTTTTCTGTTAATAATTTCGAAATTTGATTCATCGCTAAAGATAATCATTTTCCATTGTTCTACTGAATAATTTAAACGCTCTTTGCACCATTTTTTTCGTCTTTGGCGATCGGTTATTGTCAACAAAGGCTTTCTTACGCAATGAAACAAATTTAATTCTTTC